TCCGCTCCTGTGCCAGCGAAAAACACTCAGAATGTCTATCACAGTCCCTTGTGGAAAGATTGACAGACTGCTGTCTCAGCATATCTAGCATACACTCGCATTAGAGCATATGGTAGCCATCCGAAGTGCTAACACAAACAGTCCAACATTAGAAATGCAGTGCATCATTGATGATAGCAGAACTTGTCGTCAACAGATCAGCAGTTGTCCGCGTGATCAATTTTAATACGGGTCCCGCAAGCATTGAACGACAGGCATCGCGCCATTTTCTGAATCTACAATTCACACAAGCACGTTGGTCACAGTCGAAAAAAAAACTTTCCAAATGCAATCCGCAGCTCACAGTGTCACGCCATGCATTCAACTCAGAAGCTGGGCGACGAAACTATATCCAGTCTACAAATGGAGCAAAAATGCATCGGCCACCGTCCGGCAGAAGCAAAAAATTTGCCTCTGTTCCGAACGGCGCCGCTGTCTAGCGTCCATTTTAACCGGAAGTAAGCGTATACCTAGGGACGGACACTTGATTGTTCTATATTTGTCAGGCCAGTTGGCTGCCTAAATTTATACTAAGCAGAGGACCATTTTCGCGACAGTAGCGTACAGGGTATATCGCGTCAGACGCAGAGTTTATTTACCAATTCAAAGTTTGGAGGTTAACGTCAAAACTATGTGTTTGATTGTAATTATTTTCCAGCTAAGGCATGAATAATTTCAGGGCGCATGCCAAATTTCAACAATTTACACCGAAAGCACGCGTCGTTACAGATTTTTAAACCTAGGCACAACTTTTGGAAAGGACTATAGTCAGCTTTACATTATTAGAGTGACAAACGACAAATGAACCTTGCGGTTAGAAAGAATTCATCAGCATATTATTTGAATAGAGAATGTAACAACTGGGAACCAGCAGAGCTGTCATGGATGGAAGGGAGGGAGAGGGGGTGTGGGTTCAGGTTATCAGATCATCTAGGCCACGTGGGTCCTGACCCACACAGGACTGCAGGTCACACCTGGATGGTGTAGCCGTTACAGGTGGGCCAATGATAACTGCTTTAGAACGGAACTTAGAGGTTGAACTAGGTATCTGCGATCTGCCTTGTTGATCGGCCGTCCAGATAGAAATTTGTAAGTCTCAGCAAAGTCTTGTAAACATTTAGGTAGCATACCTGGAGGGGACAAACTGATCGTTCGATACCCACAGTATACAAGTTGGGGTGGACAGCTCTCTCTCTAGCTCTCTCTCTCTCTCTCTCTCTCTCTCTCTCTCTCTCTCTCTCTCTCTCTTTCTCTCCGCCTTACCTTCCCAAACATTTCCTATCAAATTCTACAAAGTGTCTAGTATTGATTGTTAAAAGGACGGGAGGACACAGAACCGTGTGGATTTAGGTAGGAGAATAAATAAAACGAAGGGGCCGGGGCGGGTACAGTCCTACCTCTGCTGGGTTTAACACGTACGACACTGCCTTCCCAGAACATGTGTTAGTATCCACTTCTGTCCCTGTGTGGATTCCGAGGCTATAGTGATGGTGAAAACAATAATAGACCCCCTGGTGAAAACATGATGGACTCCCCCCCTCCCCCCCCCCCCCCCCCCCGACCCCCGGGCTCAACTAGTGTGTCGTGGAAGTCGACAAATTAGTCTCGTATTGGCTTTAAAGTCGGAGGGATCTGACTGAAATAAATTTGCACACAAAAATTCAGGTCTGGAAGATGACTCAAGTCTAGAAATGAATGAACAACTAGAGAGTCCAAGTCCTAGTCCTTTTGATGAAAAAAAAAAAAAAGAAAAGCTCGACCAATTTCAGACTGCTGATAGCTAGCCGAGGCTGCTAGCAGTCTCCGCCTATATTTGTGGTCTGGGTTATTTGCGTCACTTCCGTGACTGAATTCTAGTATTTGTGCCGTTTCTGGGCTTGATGCTTCCATCCGAATCAGACCGCTCGTCCTCCACCCTGTTGTTACTTGTGCATGTCTTCCCTTCGTCTTACTTGGTGTTTCCAGTTTGTGTTGTTTCCCTTTGATTTGGCCAGGCGTATTTAAAACTGTTATTGGTCAATTTTGTATGTGTATTTACAAATGTTGCCTTTTATCTGTGTTTGTGTTCGATGCTGTACATAATCAGATACATAATTGTTAACCATACTACTAAACTGAGTTATAATTTTAAACATGTTCAAATTGTTTAAAAAAGGGTTTGTTTATTTACAATGGGCGAAAAAGGGGGGGGGGGGGGGGCGCTGGTTCAGCTTTATTTCAAATGGGGGTGGGTGGGTGGGGGGATTTTTTTAGCCATAATTGCTGGTTATGTACATTCTTTACACATAATTTTGTAAATACATTTCAAATAAACATGATATGTGATAGAGGATAGAGGCTTGAGTAAGGAGGAATAGTTAAGAATTGTATGTGAAAAGTGGTTGAGAGAGAGAGAGAGAGAGAGAGAGAGAGAGAGAGAGAGAGAGAGAGAGAGAGAGAGAGAGAGAGAGAGAGAGGAAGGAGAAGTATATATAGTAAGGACACATAATAATGTGTGTACTTGTAGGGTGTTTGTTAATTGAATATTTTTGTCCATAGGCACCGGAAGTGGTGCAGAAGATGATGGAAGGTATATTTGTTATCCTCATGCACTGCTTTACACCTGTACCTCCAGATTAAAGCTCTGTATTCTGCCAGTGCCGTCAAAAATATTCCATGATTTTCTCTTGTTGTTTTAGGAATTGTGTTTAAAAATATTGCTTTGTATGTGTCTGCTTGTGTTGTTGTGTGATTGTAGATGATGGTTTTGAGATTTCGAAGTGTAGTCTGTATAATACATTCATAAAATATGTGTTCTTTTGTCTCTTTGTTTTCTTTGAGCACAGTTTGCATGGTATTTTACATTTTTGAACTTTTGTTATTTTCTCTTTAGTGGGAGTAAAATTAAAAAGTAATCTATACGTTATTTCTTTTGCTACTGGTTTTATGTATGGTTGGTGTATGTTTGCAAAGGACATGTAGTGATTTGCCACCATTTACACTTCCGCATAGCGGCGTCCGTGGCTAAGGCGTTGCGAGTCCGACTCGTAAGCCAGCATACCGAGATCGAAACCCACTGCAGGCTGCGTGGATTTTTGTCGTGGTATGGGACGTCGCAGGTAGACCCAGCCTAAAATGGGTACCAGGAAAGTAAAGACAGCCGGCGTAATGCTGACCACATTACCCACAGAGTGCTGATGGTCTGTAAAAATATGGGACGCTCTATGGGGCTATGGGGCATATAGGGCTAGACCTATATTTTAAAGACCAATAGCACAAGATGGGTGATGTGGTCAGCATCACGCCGGCCGTCTCTACTTCCCGGGATTGCACCCAGTACCCACTCAGGGCTGGTTCGACCTGGGAGCGAAGGTCAATTTTGAAGAAAAGTCCGGCTCGAAAGTAGTATAGTCTTCAAATAAAATTAGTGAAAGTAGTATAGTTTTCAGGTAAAATTAGTGAAAGTAGTATAGTCTTCAGATAAAATTAGTGAAAGTAGTATAGTCTTCAAATTAGTGAAAGTAGTATAGTCTTCAAATATAAATAGTGAAAGTACAGATAAAATTAGTGAAAGTAGTATAGACTTCAAATATAATTAGTGAAAGTAGTATAGTCTTCAGATAAAATTAGTGAAAGTAGTATAGTCTTCAGATAAAATTAGTGAAAGTAGTATAGTCTTCAGATATAATTAGTTAAAATAATAGTTTTCCGATAAAACTTGTTAAAGCAATTCAACCTTCAGATAAAATTAGTTAAAGTAATACAGTGTTCAGATTAAATTCATTAAAGTAATAGTTGTCAGCGCCCGTGTGTCACCGGGGCTCTCTTGGGAAGCACAGAACAGTGACACTGCACCCTACCAGGCATGACGTAAGAGGCGACTAGGGGTAGGGCTGGGCTTGAGGTTGGCTAATTCATCCCGTAAAAACAATAGCCACAAAAACCAACTAACCACGGATTAGTCAAGACAGACAGACAGACAGACAGACAGACAGACAGACAGACAGACAGACAGACAGACAGACAGACAGACAGACAGACAGACAGACAGACAGACAGACAGACAGACAGACAGACAGACAGACAGACAGACAGACAGACAGACAGACAGACAGATAGACAGATAGATAGATAGATAGTTAGATAGATAGATAGATAGATAGATAGATAGATAGATAGATAGTTAGATAGATAGATAGATAGATAGATAGATAGATAGATAGATAGATAGATAGATAGATAGATAGATAGATAGATAGATAGATAGATAGATAGATAGATAGATAGATAGATAGATAGATAGATAGATAGATAGATAGATAGATAGATAGATAGATAGATAGATAGATAGGGGGAGGGGATTATCTGGTGTCTGAGGTGGCCAGGGAAGAAGGAGAAGACAGAATGACCTCTCTGGCATACATCCACTCATTCTTGTTTGTGGTCACTTCAATGGTGATTTTCCTCTGCCCTCTCTCTCTCTCTCTCTCTCTCTCTCTCTCTCTCTCTCTCTCTCTCTCTCTCTCTCTCTCTCTCTCTCTCTCTGGCATACATCCACTCATTCTTGTTTGTGGTCACTTCAATGGTCAACTGCCTCTCCCTCTCTCTCTCTCTCTCTCTCTCTCTCTCTCTATATATATATATATATATATATATATATATATATATATATATATAGTTAGCGTAATATAAAGTTTGTTCGTTCGTTCGTTCTCTCTCTCTCTCTCTCTCTCTCTCTCTCTCTCTCTCTCTCTCTCTCTCTAGTTAGCGTAATATAAAGTTTGTTCGTTCGTTTGTTCGTTCTCTCTCTCTCTCTCTCTCTCTCTCTCTCTCTCTCTCTCGTGCGCTCTTTCCTCTTTTTCTCTCTCGGGCTCTCTTTTCCTCTCTGCCTGTCTTCCTCTCTCTCTGTCTTCCTCTCTCTCTGCCTTCCTCTCTCTCTGTCTTCGTCTCTCTATCACCCCCCCCCCCTCTCTCTAGCCTACCTCCACTCGTTCCTCCTTGAGGTCCACCTTGTTGGCCAGCTCCTCCCGCATCATGACGTCAGGATAGTGGGTTTTCTGAAAGGTTTCCTCCAGCCTCTCCAGCTGCTCCTCGGTAAAGATAGTGCGGTGACGCCGCTTCCTCTTTTGACTACCCGCCCTGGCCAGATCGACTGGACTAAGGAGGCCAGAGAAAGGGTGATGATATGCACCTAGAGAAGGAGGTAAAGGAGATATTGTGGAAGTTACACGTATAGTTACTTTAAATTAAAGTAAAGAAGCCTATTGTCAAACTCTCAGCCGTACTGACGTTTGAAAAAAATATAGCTTAGCATGTGCGTCCTGTGGTTAGCATCACGCCGGCTGCCTTTACTTCCCAGGACTTTTATCTGGTACCCACTTCCGGCTGCGCGACCTGGGAACCAACGTCATTTAAAAAAAAATAAACACCGATTCAGTCAGAACGAGAACCCACGACCTTCTGACTCGCAGCTGAGCTTCCAGCCGCCACACCACAGCAGCCCTCTGTTCTCTATTTAAAAAAAAAAAAAATTTACAGGATCAACATTGACAGCAGAAATGTCAAACATGGGGACCTTTGCCAGCAATCATTTGTGTCGAGTTGAGTCAAGAATTGACATCACAGTACTTGAGGCATCCCCATATATGCCCTGTCCTCATCTTCAGCAGCCAGCGCAGTTAAATCATTTGTGTTAAATGACTTTTAGTTTCCGTGTGTGACCCTCGTGACAACACAAATGCGGCCAATATGACGCTCAGGGGTCCCTTAGTTTGACACGCCTGCTTTACAGAACGTTACAGAACATTACAGAACGTTACAGAACCTTACAGAACGTTACAGAACGTTACAGAACGTTACAGAACGGTACATAACGTTACAGAACGGTACAGAACGTTACAGAACGTTACAGGACGTTACAGAACGGTACAGAACGTTACAGAACGTTACAGAACGTTACAGAACGTTACATAACGTTACAGAACGTTACAGAACGTTACAGAACCTTACAAAACCTTACAGAACCTTTCAGAACGTTACAGAACCTTTCAGAACGTTACAGAACCTTACAGAACGTTACAGAACCTTACAAAACGTTACAGAACCTTACAAAACGTTACAGAACTTTACAGAACGTTACAGAACGTTACAGAACGTTACAGAACGTTACAGAACGTTACAGAACGTTACAGAACGTTACAGAACGTTACAGAACGTTACAGAACGGTACAGAACGGTATAGAACGACAAAGAACGTTACAGAACGGTACAGAACGTTACAGAACGGTACAGAACGTTACAGATCCAACCAAGCATTATTTTTTGTTTTCTGTTTTTGATTTATAAGAAATGTTACAGAACGTTTACAGTTGTCAATCATTTATTAACCCTCGTTGCTTTTCCGTTGTTTGATTTACTAGGCAACTCACATTTACGTTGATCCAGGAAGGTATTTCAGTATTATAAAGCGCGTTTGCGATTCTTTAGACATAGATGTCAATTAACTAAACACAGACATAATATTTATTCAATATTAAGCGGTTCTTAAACTTCATTGCCTTGTGGCAAGGTCAAAGAACTATGTCCAGGGAGGTATTACAGTATTATGAAGCGCGTTCGCAATTCTTCAGACACAGATAAAACCAAAAAAAGGACCCCCCCCCCCCCCCCTTTCCCCTCATTTTTTGTTTAAAGCCAGTAAACGCATTGTGTATTTAGGGCTATTCAACTGGCGGCCCACGGTCCAAATCTGGCCCGCGAAGGCCTAGCAAGTGGTCCGCGAATACTTCAATGATAGTTCTATTGTGTTAATGATCTTTCTATGCTGGAGCTCCGGCTTCTGGCCTGCCACGATCCCAGTTTTGGCCCCTGAGTTAGAAGGCCCTGGATAATCTGATGCTGGGCTGGTGTTTGTACAAACCCTGGGCAGTGTGTGGGTGGATGGTGTGGTCATCCCCTTGCTGGTCTACTTTATGTCCCAGGACATTTCCCGATACTCATTTGAGGCTGGGTCTGCCTGGTAAAAAATGTCATTTTTTTAAAAACAGAAACAATGTAACTCGATGTGGATTCGAGCCCAGACTTTTGCGAGCGTTTAGCCGCTTTGCTTCAGCCACTTCCATAGCCTGAGTACAAAAGCGGATGTTTCAGGCATCTGCCTAGAGGCAAGAAAATAAAGTCTGACTGTTCTGTCAAACGGATGCACATGCAACAATCAGGTTCTGGAACAGGACTGCAGTCCAGAAGTGGACAAACAACCAGAACTTTCCACCAGAGTTTACAGCTGGTGAACGCGAAGACAGAAGAAGAAGAAGAAGAAGAATGATTCCGGCGAGTAAAGGGAAGTAATGGACTTTTTTCTACACCTCCAGGCGTATAGGACATAAGTACTAATCCTATATGTTATAGTCCCATCGGCTGCCTTTACTTCCTAGGAATTTACCTGGTACCCAGTTGAGGCTGGGTCGATCTGGGAGCCAAGGTCATTTTTTTTAATGTCTGGCTCCGTTCGGCTTTGAACCTACGAGCTTTACAAGTAAGCGCCTAGCTGTCACAAATGAGCGGTTCCATTTCAGGTTAAAAAAGTCTGTCATCAATAATTCCTAGAAATACTTACCTAGCAGGTCGTGGTGTGAAGCGTGCAAGGCTGGGTAGTGAAAGTACGGAGACGGCCGGTGGTTAGCTTGGAAGCATGCTGGACCGGGTCGGTTGAGGATACTGTCTATTGTGAAAGCATTTCCAGCCACTGTAGAGGGCGCCAACATGGAGGAGAAAGTCGTCTGGCAGGATTTGATGTGTTCAGCCTGTCAGGGCAGCGGAGAAACCGCCCAGTCCACTGTAGAGATAGGTCAGTGGGTGTAGGTGTGTGGCAAAAGCCAAGCTGTCGACCACACGAGCTGTAGCGTGGAACGGTGACGGTCTAGGCACGGGTTCCGAAGCCATTTTGAGTTTGAGTTCTTCTTGAAGTCGTTCGTTGTATACAAGAGGAGGCACTCTGGGAGTCAGTTCTTTCTCCTGAGATCGCAGCATGATAGTGATAGAACTGCGATTGGTCGATTTTACCACCAGTGTTACTGAACACACCAATCAAATGTATGGTTTCTTTGACGTCACAGCGGAAGTAAGAAATCAGGTCAGATGACTTGCTGTCAAGATGGTAACCTGGGGTTCTTCACAGGGCATCCGAATTATTATAGGGATATGTAGATGACGAGTGATTGAGCCCTCGATGTTTCTATTGCCACGAATTCAACTTCATTTTCTGTGTAGATCTTTCTTTTTAAAAGAAAGAAAAGAAAGACAAAAGTTAAAAACATAATTAATAAATAAAATATTTGATACTGCCACAGCCGTATCCACTACATTCTCCTCCTTTGCCATCATCATCCTCATCTTTTCCTAGTCCTGTTCTTCTCCTTCTCTTCCAAGTAAAGATGGTCCCGTAGCAGATACAACCTCTAGGGTGGCAAGTGGTACACTACACATACAAGTGGTAGACTACACATACAAGTGGTAGACTACACATACAAGTCGTAGACTACACATACAAGTGGTAGACTACACATACAAGTGGTAGACTACACATACAAGTGGTAGACTACACATACAAGTGGTAGACTACACATACAAGTCGTAGACTACACATACAAGTGGTAGACTACACATACAAGTGGTAGACTACACATACAAGTGGTAGACTACACATACAAGTGGTAGACTACACATACAAGTCGTAGACTACACATACAAGTGGTAGACTACACATACAAGTGGTAGACTACACATACAAGTGGTAAACTACACATACAAGTGGTAGACTACACATACAAGTGTTAGACTACACATACAAGTGGTAGACTACACATACAAGTGGTAGATACACGTGGTAGACTAAACATACAAGTGGTAGACTACACATACAAGTGGTAGACTACACATACAAGTGGTAAACTACACATACAAGTGGTAGACTAGACATACAAGTGGTAGACTAGACATACAAGCGGTAGACTACACATACCAGTGGTAGACTACACATACAAGTGGTAGACTACACATACAAGTGGTAGACTACACATACCAGTGATAGACTACACATACAAGTGGTAGACTACACATTTAAGTGGTAGACATACAAGTACAGTAGAACCTCGCTCAACGAGCACCTCTCATAACGAGTAATTCGCATAACGAGCAAAACACATTGTTGAAAAAATGACTTGCTTAACGAGCGATGTTTCGCATAACGAGTGGCGACTAGAGGAAAAGTCCCGAATTGTGCCAGGTTACATCAGTCTGTGTTTAGCAATCGTTCCAGTAGCATCGTAGTTTCGCTTGTGATCACAAATTTTCTTCAACTTGTGTTATTTTGTGATATATGTACATGAATCCTCCAGGCTTACAAGATGACCTCTATGAAGAAGTTAGGTTCATCAAGATCCAGTTTTTGTCTCCCAACACCACTCCGTTACTCCAGCCCATGGACCAGCAAGTTATTTCTAACTTTAAGAAGCTCTACACTAAAGCACTCTTCGAGCATTGTTTTCAGGTGACTGGAGGGACCAACCTCACTCTCAAAGAGTCTAGGAAAAATCACTTTCCACATCGTTACCTGCCTCAAGATGATCGAAAAGGCGGGGGAAAGGGTTTCCAAGAGAACCCTAACTTCTGCTTAGAAGAAGCTTTGGCCGGAAACGTTGTCGATTTGTGACTTTGAGGGTTCGAGACAGCACCTGTGGAACCTGTAGTCAACGAGACTGTGTCTTTAGCCATTATCTTGGGATTGTAGGTGGATAACAATGATATCGAAGAGCTTGTGGAAGAGCACAGCCAAGAGCTGACCATCCAAGAGCTTATAGAGTTGCATTGTGTTTCACAGCAAGAAGTTTTGGAGGAAAGTTTGTCAGAGGAGGAGAAGGTAACCGAAAAACAGCAATCTTCTGGCGAAATAAGAGAAATGATGAAAGCGTGGCAAACTGTTGCATCTTGCATTGAGAAGCATCACCCTGATGAGGAAATTGCTATGCGCGTTGCAAATTTATTTAATGATAATGCGGTGTTGCATTTGCGCCAAACTTTGAAGCGTCGGCAAAAACAAATGTATCGGGACATCTTCCTAATTATTTCGACTTTTTTTTTTCTGCAAATCGAATTCGCATTCCAGGTGGGTTCGTTTCGCGTTTGAAAAAAATATGAAGATGATTCACTCTCCTTAACAATACGAATATAATTTTCATTGAATAAACGTTATACATAGCATTTTGTGAGTATGTTTTTTTTTTTTTTTTGGACATGGAAAGCATTATCTTATTTTACATTAATTTATATGAGAAAGATTGTTTCGCATAACGAGTGTTTCGTTTAACGAGTATGATTCTGGAACGAATTATGCTCGTTAAGCGAGGTTCCACTGTAGTAGACTACACATACAAGTGGTAGATTATACATACAAGTGATAGATTATACATACAAGTGGTAGATTATACATACAAGTGATAGATTATACATACAAGTGGTAGATTATACATACAAGTGATAGATTATACATACAAGTGGTAGATTATACATACAAGTGGTAGATTATACATACAAGTGATAGATTATACATACAAGTGATAGATTATACATACAAGTGATAGATTATACATACAAGTGATAGATTATACATACAAGTGATAGATTATACATACAAGTGGTAGATTATACATACAAGTGATAGATTATACATACAAGTGGTAGATTATACATACTAGTGATAGATTATACATACAAGTGGTAGATTATACATACAAGTGATAGATTATACATACAAGTGATAGATTATACATACAAGTGATAGATTATACATACAAGTGATAGATTATACATACAAGTGGTAGATTATACATACAAGTGGTAGATTATACATACAAGTGATAGATTATACATACAAGTGATAGATTACACATACAAGTGATAGATTATACATACAAGTGGTAGATTATACATACAAGTGGTAGATTATACATACAAGTGATAGATTATACACACAAGTGGTAGATTATACATACAAGTGATAGATTATACATACAAGTGATAGATTATACATACAAGTGGTAGATTATACATACAAGTGATAGATTATACATACAAGTGGTAGATTATACATACAAGTGGTAGATTATACATACTAGCCCCTGACATCGAGATGTGATGGACCATGTACAGTTTCGCACTTTCTGGAACATTCTCAGGTGCCCAATTTATCTTAGTAAGTAAGGACTCTTTTTCACGCCTTCAAGCGTATATGGGCATATAGGGTTAGACCTATATTTTATAGACTAATAGCCACTTGGGGGGTGATGTGGTTGATTCTGCCGACCGCATGTACTTGCCAGGAACTGGTTCCCATTTCAGGCTGGGTCGAGCGGGGAGCCAGGGTCATTTTTAAAAGGGGGATGGGGAAGCGGTGTTCCGTCAGGACTTAAACCCACGACATTCGGATCGGTAGCTGAGCGTCTACCTGTTACATTAATGTATTAATTCCTCTGGTCAAATCTCAACACAATAATTTCTTCTTCCTCTTTCGCAGCAACCTTCAAAATTGGTGGTTGGCATGCAGGATTGTGGTTTACAGCCTAGCTGCGATATCTGTGCCTGTTCGGTGAGCACATCCGATCTCAGCAAGTCCTTATAGGTGGCCTTACAAGACATGCTTGTCTTCCTACGTCTTCTTCTTTGCGTTTCCGGCTTCAAACTGCGGCGAAAAGATCTGGGTGTTCGTCCACTTCTGGACTTTAGCTTTGTTCCAGAACATGAGTTTTTTCGTGCACAACCGTCTTACTGCATGCAGACTGTTGGTTCCACGCCTCTCAGGCAGATTCACTCCAGCTTCAACGAAACACTGCTAAAAAGTTGCTGTTTAGGACATTTGTTAGAGAGTGGTGGGTCTGGTTTGCTCCGAAAAAGGGCATGGAATACAAGACAAGGAAGAATAGAAGCCCAGAAACTGTATTGTTTTAAATTTTCTCTGTAATGGAAATACGTGCGGATAATAATATAATAATAATGATAATGATAATAATAATAATAATAATTATTATTATTATTATTATTGTTAATATTATTATTATTATTATTATTATTATTATTATTATTATTATTATAAAAGAAGATATATTTAATGAAAATTTAAGTAAAAAGTGAAAATATTCAAATTTTAGTAGTGGGGTTCCCAGTAACATCAGAAGTAAGGCAAAGGTGTTTATATTCACGGACAATATTAATAAAATAGACATAACACCATCAGATGTCGATAAACAGGAGGACTTCAATGAGCTGCTCTTTGCCGATGATCAGTGCTTATTCCACAGTGAAAGTAAACAGCTGCAGGACCACATAAACAAACTTCACGACATTTGCCTTAAACATAACATGAAGATCAACACTGAAAAAACAGAAGTCATGAGAATACATAGAGAGCAACAAACCACCAACATAAAGATTACAGATCAAAGTCTGAAACAAGTGCAAGAGTTTAAATACTTTGGGAAGCATCTTTACATGCAATGGTTAAATAGACGCAGAGATAGGAACGAGAAGCAAACAAGCCACACATGTTACGTACTAACTTGCTCCAATTTTAAAACACCCAGGTATACCAATAGAGACAAACAGACAAATTAGAAATACAATATATACCTACTGTAGGTTACCAGTGTCGGACATTGACAAAAGAACAGGAAAGAAAACTTACCACCTGTGAGATGAGGTGTTTGAGAATGGC